TTGTCATTCGAAGGTTACACTTGACAGCTACAGATAGAGAGCCCAGAGTCAAAATACATATGTATGTGTGTCAGCTGTGACTTGTGTATCTTTATTCTTCGTGAGATTGATGCATCATTAAAACTTAAAAGAAACACATAATACTGGCAAAAAACATGCTTTTGCCAATAAAGCCTAATATATTCAAAGAAAACCTAAGTAAGAGTAGGGCAACCATTAATTATCTGGTTTTGATAATTATGTGGCTTTCAAGCTGACCCTCAGACTTTCATGAATCAATTGCCTTGGAATAAGAAAATAAGATCGAAAAGTCAGGGATAGGTAAGAGGTCCTAATCTGTGTACTGCTTCCAAGTCATTGAAAATTCATTGTAAATTTCAAAGCAAAAGGATTTTCATGACAGCCAGTCAAGTAGAATTTTCAAAAGAGGAACTCAGCACTAGCAGCCTCCATATATTTTGTATGACAGATTTCCTTAAATACATAGCATAAAGAGGTCATACTTTGTACATTTCACAGAAATTTAAAACACAAAAAGGGAGTTGTATGATGTGATAAATGTGTATTGCACTGCCCCTTGTCACACTGGTCTGCAGACCAAAAAGGGACTGCTGCTCACATATTAACCACTTCAGTTTAGTTTGCGGGCAAGTGTGAGCGGGGTCTCAAATAGTTCAGGTACTTTTATAGTGAATTAAATTAGCAGCATCATCTCTTCATGCTACACCCACATGGCGTACGTTTGTACAACAATAGACAAATATAACTATTTTTACACACAGTGCAGCTTGTATACCACAACCAGTGAACATAAACAATGGTGTTATATTAAAGTAGATGTGGACATACAATGTTATAGACAATTTCTAACACAGCTATGACTATGCAGGTACCATATCTGATTTTGCTTGGTTTCAGAAATTATCTTTCTTAACTCTTAACAAGGTTAAAAAGTTTTGTCTGGTGACTTTCTTTCGCTTCTTCCTGAAAGTGGGGGACAGGTTACAGGACACTGTGCAGACACAGTGTGCCTGTGTTCCATAGTCTCTTTAGCCTGAGGCAAGATACGGGCTGTTTTTGAGCAGTGGACTTATTCAAGAGGCAGACTGTGATTGGGAGTGGGTGTGTGCCAGGGGCAGGCTGTGATTGGTTGAGGGGTGTGGTGTCTGAACAAACTACCCAATGCAGGCGTTTTGTGTGTCTGCACAGTTTCCTGCATCTCTAAATGGACAGCCAAAGGATGAAAGCTGACCACTAACAGAGATCAGTTTCTGTGCTTTGTGTGGTCAGTTTTAAAACAAGGAAGAAAGTTGAATGGTAGGATCAACCAGGTTTTTCACATGGAAACAGTACATGATACAAAATAATAGGGACTGTTACACATATGTTAACAATACACATATGTTAACACACACATAAAAAAATTATTTAGAGTAACATACACTTTAAAGGTGGGCTTGTTCTATTTTCAGTATGATGGTTGTCCATACCTGGACAGTGAAGGATGATTTTATCAGAATGTGATGTTGACATTAGGCACTAATCCAGTGGGAGCACTGCAATACGCCTCCTAGAAAAGGTTGTGGTGGTACTGAACTAAATCCGCTGGGGCTAAGAGTATCATTTCTGGATCCCTTTTTCCCTACTCCCCTTTTTTGCCAAAGCTGTATTATAGTTGTGGGAGTGCTATGCAAGCTAGGGTCTGTTTTTGGATCTATTATTTATTTATGATTTATTTCAGGTACTTATATAGCGCCGTCAATTTACGCAGCGCTTTACATATATATTGTACATTCACATCAGTCCCTAACCCTCAAGGGGTGTACAATCTAAGGTCCCTAACCCTCAAGTGGTGTACATTCTAAGGTCCCTAACCCTCAAGGAGCGTACATTCTAAGGTCCCTAACCCTCAAGGGGCGTACAATCTAAGCTATCATCACCTTGGGTCAATGGGCTATTACTGCATTTATTCAAATTCTGCAACATGATTTTTTTCAGTGCTGCAGCACACAAAAACATTTTAGACACAATTTGCTTCCAGTTTAGCGATAGTTTGGGGAAGACTCTATACTGTTCCAGTATGACTGTGCCACTGTGTGCAAAGCCATGTCCATAAAGATATTGTTTGATATGTTTGCTGTGGGTAAATTCAACTGGCCTGCTCAGAGCCCTGATCCTAACCCTATGGAACATTGGGATGAATTGGAATGCCGATTGTAAGCTGGATCTGTTAATTCAAAATTAGTACCTGACCTCACAAATGCTTTTTTGAAAAATTTTCACTAGCTCCAAAATGCATTTTTTTTAAAAATTCTCTCTAACCAAAAGAGCAATGGGTGCTATATTGCCAGAGAGTTAGAAGTCCTATATGAAAATCTGATAAAGGTGTTGGAATTTCAATATTCTTTGTCTACCTGGTCAGGAACATCATCTACAGTATTTTGGCTTATAGTACATGCTGTCTGTTTACATTTATGGTAATTTCATTAATGCAAATTTTGATTTTTGTCTTTTTGATTTTTTGTTTTCTTTTGTTTTACAGAACATTTTACTTCAGGATTCAGAAAATTACAGAAAACAGTTAGAAGAATGTTTACATGATAAGGTACACAAATGATCTATATCAGACTGATGTTGGCTAAACCATAAACTGGAGATCAGAGAATTTTTATGTAGGCACCGTTGTACACTAGGGATTAAATAGCAATACATATAAAATATATATATATATAATACAGTGTATTATCTGTCTGGGAAAATGTATTCCCAACAATTGCAACCTCTCATAATTCAGCTACGAGATGGCTGGAGAGTTATCATAAACAGATCAAGTGATGGACAGATCAAACTGATTAACATCCTATGGGCTTGGCTAGTCAAAGTCCTTATCTTTTCTATCTTTTACTTGTCCAGAGCAATGAACACTGAAAAATCTGTTTTATTTTGAGTCAATGCAGAGCTTAAATATTTATAATAACCTTGAAATGATTATTTTCAGGAAAGATTAGCAGAAGAGCTTGATAAAATGAGAACGGAATTTGATCAGGTGAAGATACGTACTGGATCCTTGATAGAGCCAACATTATCCAGGTAGTTAGTATATCATGGTTAGTCTTTTATTACTATTGTTTTTGTAACAAATGGAATAAGCATCCCCATGAAGCCATGTTATTTGCCACTATGCTCATGTGGGTAACATCAACTTGAATGGCAAAAGTATTCTGTGATTTATATTTATATTAGAATATTGTACTTCTGGGTTGATTCAGAAAAAAAGTGCTTTTTCCAAAGTGGGATATCATATAGATCACCCAATTTATTGTTATTTTATTGTGAGTGAGCCATCCTTTGAGAAGACAATTTATTTATTCATGACTTCAAGTCTTTACTGAGCTACATGTCTACTACTTCTACATGTGTGCTTTGTGCTTCTGGTTAACCTCAGGCGCATATCACCTTGAGTGGTAGTTTTATGCCTCAAACTCTTTTCAAACTCACACTTTTCAATATTTGGTTTCACATAATCCCACCTAAATGAAGTCTCATTGTTCCCTTTTCTGGCAGGGTGAAAAACACAATTCATTTTACAACTGACATCATAAACATTGACCTGCATTAAATTGCTATCCTCTTTTCATTACGTGAGAGCAAGAACACTACTTTTTCTTTTTTTTTAAGCACTTCAGCTCTCACACCTGTATATCCTGATTGAAAACAGTAAATATTACATTATGCTATAGGCCTCTTTATTCAGTGATATGTTTGTCATTACTTAAGATAACAAAGTATACACTTACAATACATAAAGTATAAAGTATACAATACAATACATTTTTTGCAACAAACTTTTGGTGATAATGCATTAAAAAAAGTTTTCAGATTTTCTCTGCAATTTATAGAGAAAAAAGATGTAACAAAATTAGAAATGGCATTTTTTTACTTTGATCAGTGTTGCTGAAGATAAAATAAATCTTAATTGTATTGTATAATTTGCCTAATAATGACACTAAAATTATTATTCTAGTACACAGCAATTTTTAACATTATTTAAAATTTTGAAAAAACATTTTGCCTATTGTTTAAATGTGACATTAAAAAAATCAGGAACAAAACTAATAATCTAATCTTGTCCATAATGGGCATGGTATTGGCACACTCCCAGATGATCCACATTGGCTCACAACTGATATGATCCAGAAATATTTAGACAGATTAAAGGTGAATAAAGCACCTGAACCTGATGACATACACCCACGGGTCCTTAAAGAATTGAGCTCTGTTATTTCAAAACCATTGTATCTTATTTTTAGGGACTCTTTAATGACTGGCATAGTACCACTGGATTGGCGTAAGGCCAATGTGGTGCCTATATTTAAAAAGGGGTCAAAATCTTTACCAAGTAATTATAAATCTGTTAGTTTAACTTCTATAGTTGGGAAGATACTGGAGAGTTTAACCACTTTAAGTTCAGATACTTTCACTCCCTTCCAGTCCAGGCCAATTTTCAGCTTTCATTGCTATCACACTTTGAATGACAATTGCGCGGTCATGCAACCCTGTACCCATATGAATTTTTTAGCATTGCTGGAGGCAGATAAAACTTTATTTTGGTGGTTTTCATTTTTTTTTCTATATAAATGAAATAGTCCCAAAAGTTTGAAAAAAAGGTGTTTTTCTTATAAAATTTTACAAATAAATAATCGTTCTTCATAACTCTTGGCCAAAATGTATTCATCTATCTTTTTAGTAAAAAAAATAACCCAAATTAGTTTATAGCCAAATATTATAATTTTTCAAAATGTTTTGTACATTTTTATTTTATTTTTTTATATTATTATTTATGTTTTTTTAACATACTGTCACCCTAGCAGTACAGTGTCTCCATAGTAACACTGTACTACTTGTGGGGGGTGATGAAGACCTTTTTTTTTTTTACACTGATTGCTTTTACACCCATAAAGGCTGTAAAAGCAATAATTTCTCCTTCTCTCTGGCTGCATTCTTGCAGCCACTGAGAACTACTGTGTGAGCTGTGATTGGTCACAGTGTGTCACATGGTACAAGGCTGTTGTGAATATCCTTGTACCATGTGACCTCTGTTACCTTTCAAAAGTAGTAAGCCATGATGTCAGGAAGTGACATCTTGTTTACCACTATTCATGTGATCACTGATTGGCCAGGGAGCGCGCACAGGCAATGGATGTGGGGGGACATTTAGAAACATCCACCCGCATTGGCAGTGCTCCCATCTGGCCATTTATTGACATGGGCTGGATGGGAAGAGGTCAATAAAAGGCCACATAAATGCATTCTTGCTGGAAAAAAAATATTTTAAGCAACAGGCAGCATGGATTCATGAAAGACAGACGTTGTCAAACAAATCTGATTTCTTTTTATGAGGAGGTGAGCAAAACCTTGGACAGAGGGGTGGCGGTGGACTTGGTATACTTGGATTTTGCAAAAGCATTTGCCACAGTTCCCCACACGTGGTTAATGTGTAAAGTCTACTGGTTTGGAAAAATCAGTATGTAATTGGATAGAAAACTGGCAAAAAAATCGTATTCAGAGAGTAGTGGTTAATGATTTATACTCTGAATGGTCTAGGGCAGGGGTGGGCAACTGTGGCCCTCCAGCTGTTAGTGAACTACAAGTCCCATCATACCTCTGCCTTTGGGAGTTATGCTTGTAACTTTTGCAAAAAAAACTCATGCTTGTCAGTTTTGCAATGCCTCATGGGACTACAACAGCTGGAGGGCCACAGTTGACCACCCCTGGTCTAGGGTCGTCAGTGGTGTACCCCAAGGTTCAGTGTTGGGACCCTTACTTTTTAATATATTTATAAACAATATAGGGTCTCAGATTAAGAATCCCATTTCAGTCTTTGCAGATGACACCAAGCTGTGCAGTGGAATAACGTCCTTACAGGATGTCTCCAATTTACAAGCCAACCTCAATGTACTGTTTAATTGGGCAACTATGTGGCAAATGAGGTTTAATGTTGATAAATGTAAGGTTATGCACTTGGGGGCTAAGAATATGCATGCATCATACATACTAGGGGGGGTACAACTGGGGGAATCAATGGTGGAGAAGGATCTGGGGGTTCTGGTAGATCACAAGCTTAATAATGGCATGCAATGCCAAGCTGCAGTTTCTAAAGCGAGCAAAATCCTCTCTTGTATTAAAAGAGGTATAGACTCCAGAGAGAGAGATATCATATTACCCTGTACAAATCATTAGTAAGACCTCATCTGGAATATGCAGTTCAGTTTTGTGCACCAATTCACAAAAGAACACTGAGGAACTGGAGAAAGTACAGAGAAGGGCAACTAAACTGATAAGAGGCATGGAGGAGCTCAGCTATGAGGAAAGATTAGAGGAACTGAATTTATTCTCTCTTGAGAAGAGGAGATTAAGGGGGGATATGATCAACATATATAAATACATCAGTGGTTCATATAGTGAACTCAGTGTAGAGTTATTCACCCTGAGGCCATCACAGAGGACAAGGGAGCACTCTTTACTAGAGATGAGCGAATTATTAAAAAATTCGGTTCGGCTGATTCGCCGAATTCGCGGAATAAATTCGCTTCGAGCCGAATATATTCGCTGCGAATTTAACTTATAAAAAGGGTGTTTCTAGGCTTCAGAGAGCCTTTATATTAGTGCAGAACACTGTACCTTTATTTAAATGCCCTTGGAGTCTGCTGGGGAAGAGAAATAATACTGTCAGTCAGTATGACATGCAGATGAGTGCCGTCGATCTTAGAATCACCGCACACTTCACTCATTTGGGCAGTCACGGGGCCAAAACCAGAGTGTGGAGCCACAGTGTGGCGGTGGAGGCAGCAGCAATGGGAGGCCATACAGCACCCTATGACAAAATGGAACCCACCAGCAGTGTGAGGAAACATTGTGGGCCATTTGTGCCAAGGAATGCGAGGGACTCCCTGCCTCCATCTCCACAGCATACTGCCACGGTGCGTCTGGGTCCTCTGTCTCCTCCTCCTCCTCTACCAGATGCTCCTGCTCCTCCACTCCTGTCCGCTGAGTGGAAAAACCACCCATTTCACTCAATAATTCCTGAGCACCAATGTCCTCCTCTACCTCCTCCTCTTCTTCCTGTCCTGCCCCCACAGGGGGTCATGTGGCGTTGAGATCTGTGCGCCACGTCTACCGCACCCTGACCAGCCATTGTTAACAGCATTTGTTCCAGGACGTGCAACAGAGGAATGACGTCGTTCATCCCATAGTCCTGCCGACTCACGAATAGCGTGGCCTCCTCAAAGGGCCTGAGCAAGCGGCAGGTGTCACGCATGAGCTGCCAATGGCTGACATCTAAGTTACACAGGGGAGTACCTTTATCCGCTTGTAACATCAGGAAATCGGTGATGGCCTTTCGCTGTTCATAAAGGCGGTCTAACATATGTAGGGTTGAATTCCACCTTGTTGCAACGTCGCAGATCAGGCGATGCTGTGGAATTCCGTTCTGCCGCTGCAGCTCAAGGAGGGTGTGCTTTGCGGTGTAGGAATGGCTGAAATGCATGCAAAGTTTACGTGACATTTTAAGGATGTCTTGCAGTGGGATGGTGGATTTTAGGAACCGCTTGACAACCAGATTGAACACGTGAGCCATGCATGGCGCATGGCACAACCTTCCTTGACGCAGAGCAGACACCATGTTCTTTCCGTTGTCGGTCAACATGGTTCCGATTTTCAGTTTGCGCGGAGACAGCCATCTGTCGATTTCTCTGTTCATTACACTCAGAAGTTCCTCCCCTGTGTGACTACGTTCGCCAAGGCATACCAGGTGCAGCACAGCGTGCTGCACATGTGATATGCCGGTCGGGTAATGGGACTTGGCACGGGAGTGGCGACTGAGGACACGGCGGAAGAAGAGGTGGTAGAGGCGGACATCTTTGCTGGACCAAGGACGTGCAAACGTGGAGGCAAAAGCGGCGTGACCTGTCCAAGTTGCTGGTGCGGCTGTGCCGGCACCACGTTCACCCAGTGGGCCATAAATGACATGTACTGTCCCTGACCGTAGTTACAGCTCCACACGTCGGCGCTGCCGTGCACTTTGGCAGAGACCGACATGCTCAAAGACTGGCCCACCATCTCTTCTACATGTGAATGCAGGGCTGGCACTGCCTTTTTGGTGAAGAAATGCCAGCTTGGCACTCTCCACCGCGGCGTGGCACAAGCCATCATTTCTCGGAAAGGTGCTGAGTCCACCACTTGGAAAGGGAGGGACTGCAGCACCAGCAACTTGGACAGGAGGACGTTCAGCTTCTGCACCGTCGGGTGCGTGCTCGCAAACTGTTGTCTCTTGGAAACGGATTCCAAGAAAGACTGCTGACGGAATCCGTGAAGAGGAGTAGCAGGAGAAGGAGCATCTGAACGAGCGGAAGATGCCAACGAGCGACAACTCCCCTCAGCAGAGGTGTTGGAGCCTTGACTGGCTGATAGAGGGCGATTGACGTCGGGTGACGGAGCAAGTAACGGAGCGGGTGATGGAGCGGGGGCTGGGGCAGGCAGAACCGCCGTATCTTTATCACGGTTTTCCCAGGCCACCGAATGGCGACGCTGCATATGCTGACGCAACGCTGTAGTCCCAACATTGGCCCCCTGGCCACGCTTGACTTTTTGGCCACATAGTCGACATACGGCTACGTTTACTTCCTCGGGCGGCTTGACAAAAAATTGCCACACCGCCGAGTAGGAAACTTTGCCCCCGCTACTCCTCACTGGCTGACTGCTACTTCCTCCGTGCACACCGGCACCACTACTGGCCGTGGTGGTAGGCTGCAGTGGAGCTGGTGCTCTACTCCGTGGCCGTTTGGCTCCACTGACACTGCTGCGACCCTGCTGCCTCCTGGGCAACCCACCGACTGTTTTGCTCGCTGGCAAGCTGGCACCCTCTTCTCCTGATGATGCGGAAGCAATAGCCTGATGACGACGAGGCTGCCAAGTGCGATCAGCCTCATCATCATCAATTGGGGTCTCCGCGTCACTACTAGCCCCCTCGGCTGCGTGTGGGTCAGGAGACAGACCTGTCTCTAGACCGGCTACCGAGCCACTCTCCTCGCCAGTACTTCTTCGCCTGGCTGCTGAAGAGGCGGATGTCTCCCCCCGTTCCTGACCGCCCTCTGTTAGCTCTTCCTCACTGTACAGTGGGGCTGAGCCCACAGCATGCGATACTTCGCTTGGTGAGGGAACACCAAAGGACAGGGGCAGGTCGAGGACACGTGATTTCAGTGGGCTTGCTCCCGGGCCATACCAAATAACGGTTGTGTCTGACGTACCCACCGACCGTTGGCTGTAGGTGTCAGAGGTGACCTGGGAAGAGGAAGACGACCGAGTCAACCAATCGATGACGGCAGGGTTGTCGGTGGAGACACGACCGCTGGATGACACCGGGAGCACTGGCCTCTGGCTGCGACTAGTGCTGCCTCGACCCCTTCCTCTGCTGCCACGTCTGCTCGCTCCTGAAACATTGCCTCCTCTGCCACTCCTCTGCGTGTTGTCTGACATACTCTTTAATTCAATAAGCACCCCAAAAATAAAACCGGATTTAACTCTTTGAACGTACAATAGTGGTTGTGAAGCAGAAAGTCAGTTTATTTAGCACAATCGGTCAATTGCAGCTTGCCGTTGGCTGTAAACTGTACGTTTATGTCACTGGAATGCACTAATCACCCAAAAAATATTACCGCCACCCGGCGTGTAAATGGATTTAACTCTTTGAACGTACAATAGTGGTTGTGAAGCAGAAAGTCAGTTTATTTAGCACAATCGGTCAATTGCAGCTTGCCGTTGGCTGGAAACTGTACGTTTATGTCACTGGAATGCACTAATCACCCAAAAAATATTACCGCCACCCGGCGTGTAAATGGATCTAACTCTTTGAACGTACAATAGTGGTTGTGAAGCAGAAAGTCAGTTTATTTAGCACAATCGGTCAATTGCAGCTTGCCGTTGGCTGGAAACTGTACGTTTCTGTCACTGGAATGCACTAATCACCCAAAAAATATTACCGCCACCCGGCGTGTAAATGGATCTAACTCTTTGAACGTACAATAGTGGTTGTGAAGCAGAAAGTCAGTTTATT